GAAGGCAACTGGAAGGCCGTGGATGACAAGCTGCACCTCGTTGGGTGCGGGACGGAAGGGGCGGTAAGGATTGTCCCGGACAGCGAAGGACTGGTTGATCTTGTTGGCAAGCGCCTCATAGTAGGGGGAGTAACTGGTGGCCGGCGTGAGTGGGTCAGTGGCTAGGAGGGTGATCACGCCACGTGCATTGACAGTGCCTGAGAAAGAGACAGGGAAGAGACAGTTGGCCTCCCGGAGGACGGAGGCTACGATGTTGGGGGCGGTGGCCGCCAGGCGTGTTGCATCGGGGTGGGGGACCGGGACGATGCGGGGTGCGAAGAAGCGACGTTCGGCAGCTGGTAGGGGGGCGGCCTCCTGGACCCGGGAGGGGGCGCCGCCCGACCCCACGACTTGGGCTGCGGTAGTCGCCTTCTTCTTGCCCTTGGCGTTGGTCTGTTGTACTTGGCCCCTGGAGGGGGCTGCAGCGCTGGCGTAGGAGGAGGAGGGGGGAGCAAGCGTGAGGAAGGAGGGGGCGGGGCCTGGGCGGAATGTAGACTCTTCCGGGAACTCACCCTGGGTAAACTGGAAAGCTGCGAAGGAGCGGGGATGTCTGGCTGCGAAAGTGCGTGGGTTACCGTACCACACACCATCAACCTGTATGGGGGAGTCGATGTCTTCGACCGCGTTATCCAGGATGTAGCCCGGAGGGGGACGGTACTTTACTCCAGGGGGAGCAGGGGGGGGAGGGGGCGGCGGCAGGTGCCTTGTCTGTTTTGGAGGAGGGGGAGGAGGAGGGGGGCCCAGTGGGGCGACCGGGGGGCGTGCAGCCGACGCCGTGACCCTCAGGGAGAGGTCCCGGACAGTGGCTTCTAAGGCAGGGAGGGAGGAGGGGTCCCTGGGGGCAGCCGCAGAGGACTGCTCAAGGGCCTCTAGTCTTTGGATGATGCTGCCTATCCCAGAAAGGGCAGTGCAGACTAGTGGTAGGAGGATGACTTCGCCAGCTGATAGAGGCAGAAGCTGAGCGTCGGTAGGGGGGGGAATCGAGGGGGCTGCCTGTCCTATGTGGCGGAGAGTGTGGGCTAGTTCATCCCTTATCAGGGTGAGATTATCGGGGAGAGAGGGGGTTGGAGCCCTTGACTCGTAGGGAGAGGCAGGACTGGAGGCACGAGAGCCAGACCTTGAAGGGCCCGGACCAGGCCCTTCCATGGTGAAGGGGGCTGTGCGGGGTAGTGAGGGGGCTGTGCACTTAGAGACTGAAGCCTAAGCGAGGGAGGAATTAGGTGTGTGGAGATGGTTGCCACGCAAAACCCTGGAGTTTTACCTGGCCGAATGTGGTAATGTTTTTAAGCGAGAGGAAAGTAGAGGGCGCGGAGCGTGACTTAAAAGCTAGGGAGGCACCTCGATATTTATAGTCCATGTCTGGCTGGTTGGGCCTACATCCATTTCCTTAATGACTATGTACCTGCCATACTAACAATTCAGTGTCTGTGGAGTGGGAACTCCGTTTGACCCTGCAAACTAACTTCCCTGCTCTCTTCCTGAGTAGAGTGATCAGCTCTGTCAAAGCACTTATCAATGACTCTTCTATGTGCATTGCTTAGAGTGTATGATGAAGATAACTAACTCGACCAGTGGGACTCCCTTGCTGTTACAACCACAGCGAAAGAAAAAACCACACCAATTTTTTCGCCGCGCCCCCACCTCATTGGTCAACAACCAAATCTTGACGGATCCCCACCCATTTTACAGACTTTTCATCAACAAATCATCTTCTATTATTTGTTTCACATCACCTTTTATCAACTGAGTCCTTCCCCGATCACCTCTGAAGCCTCCACGGGCTAGAGGCAGAGGCAGGGGTGCTGCCAACCCCCTGGCACACCCATTTCAACCCCACCAGAGTACCCCAGCTCCAACCACGCCTAGAGACACCCAGATGGATGAAGACATTCCTTCTCCTATGGATACAGTCCCACCTCCCACTGCTCCAAACCCACCCACACCTGGCTCTACTCAGTAGTCCCCATGGGAACCAAATAATCCTGACAGAGACACGAACCACTGCACCAAACTACGAGTCAACTATCTTGAGGACTCCTTCCAATCTCTTATCAACTACCTCAGCATTGTCCAGCAAAGGCACATCAGTGACACTGCAGTCTTGAAAGGACAAATTGACGAGCTCAACCAACAAATTTCACACCTACAAGAACAGCTTCAGCAAGCCTCCCCCC